CACGCATACACTTTCCCATCCACACAACAATTCTGGGCTGAACCTCGCTTCGCATTGTAAAGTATATGCATGGACACAGTGGGTTCCGCCTTCTCCCTACGGAGGGGGCCTCCTCTTCCGGAAGATATAACCTAACCCAAACCTATTTCTGATTTAAAACTAAAATTTGGTTTGGGTTGTGGGGTGAACTTTATAGTACATAATTACCTAATTTTCGGTAATTTTGGGGATTTTTTGTTTTTGGGGGGGTGGGGTTGATGGGGGACGGGCTCCCCCGACTGATTATCACTGTTGGAGTCACAACAAAAAGTTTTACCGAGAGATCCGATCATATTTGTCAAAATTCAGAAAAGACCTTATTCGAAATAATTACCCTTTTTTGGTCTATAACTTTTTTTTTGGGCCTCCCCCAACTAAAAATGGTTATTTATATTTCTTTCTAAACAAAAAAAATTTGCAGCCTATTTGCAGGTAGAGCCGTGATTCTGAATAATTACCATTATTTGTTAAAATAAAGAAAACCTGTGTTTTTGAAACAAGCAGCCAAAAATTAAAAAAATGTTTCTTTAAAGGAAGTAATTTGATATAATAAAGATAAAAATACAAATTCTTTTTTTTATTTGCAAATAAAAGCATACTTTGCTTTCATTTTATATTTTACCAATCCAAATATATTTGTTGTTTGATTGAAATAACTAATTTCTTTGCAAATATCTAAATAAAAATTTAAATAATTTTTTTTAATAAAGAACAAATTTTTTGTTGAATACATTTTTTTTTAAGTGTAATATTGACGAATGTTTCGTCATTTTCCCTTTTTCAGTGCGTCATATGTGTGAACGCGAGGGCGACGATGCAAACAGCGCCGTGTGGGCATCGAGTGGTGTGCAGGTGAGCGAAAAAGCTTACAGTTTTTCATATCTCTCTCTTTCTCTATCTGTATTCTGTACTCTGTGCTCTTTTCATTTCTTTGACTTACGTTAAAATTTCAGCGGTTAACTTTACTTTTCACACACTCAGCGTTTTAGTAACATTTATACTTAAAGAGAAGCTATTCTTCTTCGAGACGTATCTCTAACTAAGAAAATTTCTCTCTTTCTTTGGGTGTCCTCGTTTTATCTTTACATTTCGTCTGCAGACGCTGCTTCGTCAAGACGATACAAACGGCAGTGTCTCAGAGGCTCCTGCCGCTAAGATGCGTTATATGCAGAACCAAGATCCTACGGCTGAAGCAGACTCTCATTCCGCGTGACGTAAGTGCAGATTGCGCGTTTGATCTTAAACGGGGATCTCCTCGCGAATATACGATTATATCCTCCCACTCGTTTAAACATTTTCCGCTCGCTTTAGGAAGCTTCCTGCGTGAAATTCGTTTTAACGTGTTCCTTTTTTACATCCATGTAAAAAATTTTGATGTGACAGACGCGTCAATAAATTTCATGTGTTCGTTGACGTGATCGCGACGAAATTGCTGCTAATTGGAGCGGATTCTCAAAGCGTTGGACGATGCCTTTGCAGCCAATTTGGTTACCGTGTAACACGATGTACCCTATGATATTTAAAAACAACTTTTGCCGAAACTGAAGTTGTTCAAAATATTTTTCCCTTAAACGTCACGCCGTAATTCGGTTCAAATATTGCAGCAATTAACTCATCAAAGTGTAATTCGCACGTTTGCTGACTATTCGTTAAATATAAAAAATTGAATTTATATCACTATATTTAATCAGTTGTTTATTTATTTTTTTTTTTGTTGACGCAATAATCATAATTTCACACGCTAATCATCGTAACCGCTACAGATATATCTCGTTGAGAGAAATGCGTATCGATCATACATTGAGATTGTTTTCGCTTATAGTATTCGATGTCGGGAAAATCCTGGGTACTGCCTCAAAGCGCATCAGAGTACAACATGGGCACGGGTGTAACCGCCGGTGTATCCGGTCCCGGTGGCAGATGGGGAACCGGAAGCGTACCAGCCTCTGCCTCTTTATACTCGATGGCCAGCGGTTCGTCCTCCATTTCTGGTTCGTAGTTCAAAGCTCAGGGAAAATTGCACGCATAGTTTACATTGTCGTTGGAGCGATTACAATGATAAGTCTGACGCCTCTGAATTCACTCGCGTAGGAGTGTCTTCCGTCTCATCGGCAACTTCCTCGTCCGCGCATAGCACCGGAAGTTCCGCTCTCGGCAAACCTACGAGGGTACGGCAACCCATAGGCGCCACTCTCAGACGTTCCCAGGCGCAATCGATGAAAATGCGAATTCAGGTTAGCAGTGTGTCGTGTAATATCCGATACAAAGCGTTTTATATACAATTTGAGAATAACATACTCTTTTCGAATGGTTTTCCCTTAGTATCAAAGAAGAATATTTGCAATACATGCACGATTAATCTGTCAAAATTAATAGGAGTACCAGGATCCGGTTCAACAAATCAGCGAGGAGGAGGAGATCCGGGAGCGCCGATTGCCGCCAATCAAAGAGTTCCAGAGGGACTATCGTGCTGGCAAGGCCTCCACTAGGATCAGGTAATTTCGGTGATTCTCAATTCGAGCACAATCGGCCGGGAAAGACTCATGACTTGCAATACGTGCTTGATCCGCGTTCGCAGGTGTGCTCAAAAGATCGTGACCCAGCTGGAAACGTCACCGAGCCCGAGGGTCACGACGTCCGGTGTCACTACGTCGACATCATCTTCGTCGGCATCGTCGTGCGGCCGCGCCGCATCGAAGCGGCCGGCGTCGACGCCGAAGATGTCGGTGGTCCAGGAAGTGCAGAAGTCGAAGAAGGAGAAGGAACGGGAGAAGGAGCGAGAGAAGGCGGAGAAGGCGCGACAAAAGGAGGAGGAGAAGGCGGAAAAGACCAGGCAGAAGGAAGCGAAGAAGCTGGCGAAGGAGGAGAAGAAGAGGGCGAAGAAGGAAGCGAAAGCACGGCGGAAGGAAGCCGAGGAGGCCCTCCTGAGGGACGAAAAGTAGAGCTCTCTCCGATTGTGATCGCGCAGAAATCTCGAGATGAAAGGCCGATCGTTGCCGTAGGCGTACGGGCGTACCTGAACGAAATAAACGGCCGGGTATATTTCCGGGTACCCTGTTTGCCGCGGAGGATCGATATCGTGTACGGGATGGGTCGCGGATGTTCGCGATGCAATTGCAAATGTTAAGTGGCGCTCTTCGTAAAGGATGTCGTCTCTTGAAAATTCCAGCAGCCAGCTATCAAATAATGAATATGGCCTAGCGCGAAAACGGTTTTCCGAGCACTCGGCACGATTATAGAAATCGTGTCGGTGTTAATAAATCCGAGGTAGGTCATCCGGTATATTCATTCGGCTTGTTTGTTGCTTGAATGGGAGATCTCGACAACTGCCGGCGAGGAATTGTCTCGAATAGTCCGTAACTCGTCCCGAATTACTCGTCATCTCGTAGGTTCGCGAGAAGACGGTGAGAGGAAGTATACCTAAAAAAAAAAAAAAAATCTAGAAGCGGCCAAACTTAGTAATCTGTCATATCGAGTTATCGCGGACTAATAATATTATCGATAGGAAAAACTCGAACATAGCGCCACAATTTAGAATCCAAGCGAATTATTTTCAATCGTATTACTCCTGTCGGTTTTTTCAAATTATTCCAAAATCGTATCTCATCTTTTGAAACTTACTTGAATCACATTCTGCCAAAATCTGCCATGAGATTTTCATTCAGTTCTCTCAACACCCGACAAAATCTTAGAGTTAATAAAGACGTCGCGCAGACGTGATCTCTACGATTATAAAAATCATCCTATAAAGTACATCCAATTCCCAGTTGATTCGCTTGCGCGACGAGCATCTTCGCCGCGACGTTTAATCGCCTACCGCCAATTCGAGATAATCGATAATCCTGTTCCTCCAGTCAATTTAGACCAGTCGTCGACTACGAAATTAGAAGAAAAAAAAACATTCGATTTTTTTATTTACAGCATGCTCCAACATCTCATCTTAACAGTTTAGAGAATCGCGCGGAGGGCAAAGTGCTTGCAAAATATAAATCAAATTTTTCTCTCTATTTTAATAGTGACTCTATTAGAATAATTTACGTGTGAACTGGTGTACTTTTGAGATAATACGTAAAAAGCGCAGTAATCTGATTTTTGGAGTTCCCAAAGAAGAAGACGCAACGTGAAAATTTACAGCCTTTTTTCCGAAAATTCGCCACTGGATCAAAAGAAAAAGGAATCGCAAGCATTTTTCTTCGCTTTTCACTTCGCACCCCACAATCAAATACTCTCCCATCATCTATCGTATATTGTAAATACACTTGCAGAGATTCACAAGCGAAGAGACGCGAAGGACTTTCGTGCCGCGAGCAAAGTCGTACGAGGGTTAGCCTAATAAGATCGATTTGTTAAAATGTGCGAGAAGGTATATACCTAATAACGAGATAGTCTTATATAGTACAATATACACACATTTATAAATATATATATACATATATATATATATATAATTATATATAAAAATAGACACACAGAGAGCAGAAAAAATTTTTGAAACGCAGCGCGTGTCTCGTTACTGTTCGTGAATTCGTAGGCTCATAGGAATTCTTGTTATCGATCACCCTTGGTTCGACCCTTTTTCCTCGCTCGACAATTCGCGAGCAACTATTACCTAAACGAATTAAGCAATTAATTATGAAATTGCTATGTTCTACGACGTTCAATAGATTCCTCGTGCAGAATTTTAAGAACGCAAGTTACATGACACTTATGCGCTGAAAAGCTTTAACGACGAAAACCCCTGTGTCATCGACACATATACAGATAAATGCAAACACACACACACACACACACACACACACACACACATACACACGACACGCAAAAGTTTTTGACCTTAAATTTTGCCCCCAATCTTGATTGTCTATTGCCTCGCGAGTCTCCCGTAAGCAGCCAAAAATCAAAAGCAATTTTTTTACAAAGTCTACACGTCAAGATTAACTTGCGCAAATCTCGATATCAAAAAAGATGAGTGAATAGAGAAGTAGTTTGAGGCGAAAATCTATCAGCTAGATGACACGGTGACAATTTCGCCGACGGGAAATTCAATGTTATTTTCAGCGATGCATTTAATAGCGCGCGATGACGGTTTGATAATAATGACAATACTTCTTTTGTAACCGGAAGAAAGCGCAAGCGGGCGTGAAATCTTTCGGCAGCCATAAGCTGTTACGAGCTGTCGCGTTATGATAGCGGGACGGATGAGAAAGTCTCAAATGCCATTTCTTGTCCTTTCGTTCAATCGCTCTGTGGGATCGAGCTCGATGCACAGTTTTAATACAAATGAAAGATAATCAAATATCGGACGGTGTGTTTTAAGAAGCTACGATATAAAAATATACGATGTAGAATCTCGTAGAAGCCGTGAGCCATACCAATGTACAAATTTTAGTTCCTAAAATTGTGATATTAAGTGTAATTAAAATTATGTAACAGTGAAGGACAAGGTAACGTTTATTTAAGAATTCCCGTAATCTCTTCTGTCATATATATATACGAGGCAAAGTTAAAAATTAAAAAAAAAGTATCCCATTCTTAGAAACTCATGGTATGGTTCGACGATTTAGAAATCAAGTAGACACAATGAAAGTAGGAATCAGCGTTGCTGAGACAAATAAAAAAACAAATGAATGCGGAAGCATTTGAAAAGAATTGGACTCCATATGTATATTATAATCGATCGTGCACATATCAGTAGTAATTAGTAAATTTTAATCGGCGTTCTCGTTTGGACCTCATTGTTCCATTTTAAGACGACCCAAATTCTGACTCTCTATCTCTACATCAGTGAGTAGCGGAATAATAAAGTGATTAACGATACAATCACAATGAGGTTAATTCGACAATGCTACTAATTAGCGTGTAACGTTAACCGTCAATTATATACCCGTTGCATCGATCCCAACTGTGACGAGCCCGACACGTACGGCATACTCAGCAATCAAAAAAAAAAAAACAAAAAACATACGATGAATGTGGATTCTCGATTGGTTTATAAGCATCTTGAAGGCATACACGAAAGAAGATATATATGAAGATACATATAAAAAGATTGAAAAAGAAAGATGATGTTTAAATAAAAGATGGATGGCGATAAGGGTCCCAATCGGCCCCAATTGTTTTTGTTTTAAATTGATAATATTACCTGTAACATTAATAAATGTATAAGTTGTATTGAAATATTTACTTTATTTATACAGCAACAAAAACATGATTTAGGCATTTTCTAGTCTTTCAATAACTATATTTAAACAAGACTGCACTGAAATATTGTTGATACATCAATAAAACAAATAAATAATGACGTCCAAATAAAATTAGCTTATCTTTTTAAATAACACGCAACAAAACATAAAACAGATTTTGTGCTGTGAGTGCGAGATAAGTTTTGTTTAAGTTTATTTTTTATTACTCGGGAATTGTGCAGTATTATTACCAATTTTACATATGTTTCGTCTTATGTAATCATAGACTATTTGTAAAATTCTTTGTGGTATATGAATGCCCTTTATGAAAAAGCTGCGATCGAATGCTAACAAAATATGATTTTTGACGGTCAGACCTAAGTTCAGAGTGTATTTCTTAATAGATGGTATTAACACTTAAAAAAATATTTTTATGTTTTGTAAGACTTCATATCTTTTATATTTACTAAAATATGAAAGAAAATCGATTCCGCATATTTAAGAAAAATCGATATTTCGAGGCCGATTTGGAGCATTGTCGCCATCCTTTGATCAAAATTCTCAAGATTGTGGACAAATTGTCGGGAACTTAGAATTCAAAAACAGAAAGATTTTTAAAAACCGGGATATAATCGAGGATCACCATCGTCACATTGAGCATCTAGGATCTAGGAAATTTTCCTTGCGAGCTCATATATATGCGAGTGCGAGAGACTTTCTCGAATCCCGACGAAAACGAAGAGAGCGTAAATTAAGCGAGCGGGAGTGCAGCGAAAAAGCGCGAGGCCATCCCCCGCCACCGTCAAGTCAATTTTATCGAGCACAGCGTGCATACGACGTTAAGCTCGCGATACTGGCGATGATGACCTTCGTGGCAATGATAATAAATTCGATTTCTCAAAGTCACGCCAACGGGAAATGCCTACGTTCGCGACAAGATCGCATCCGGACAAAAGCGCGGCAAGCGAGGGTTGGTTTTGTCGGACGGACCTCGCGCGAATCTCTTCAACTTGCATTTCTTAATCCTTGCAATCGCAATCTTCAACTATCGTAGCAGAATCTGGAAAACTATCGTGTGAGAGAGATTTTAATCTGCAAAAATAAATAACGTTGCAATGCATCTCGGGAATATTAATATAATCAAAAGCAAAATGTCACAATCGCAATCTTCAACTATCGTAGCAAAATCTGGAAAACTATCGTGTGAGAGAGAGATTAACTTTTAATCTGCAAAAATAAATAACGTTGCAATGCATCTCGGGAATATTAATATAATCAAAAGCAAAATGTCAAGAGTCTCTTCATTTATTTAGGAACGAATATTTATCAAAGAAAAATCGCGCTCTTTTTCACGATAGTTAAGGATTATAGTTGAGGATTAACAATAAAGAGGCAAAAAAGAAATTGCGAGGCAAAGAGGATAGCGTAATCGTTGGCAATAATATTCGAGCTAAAGAGAGGACAAAAGAGTGCGGACAAAGAGGGACGATCGCGTCTCGTCTGTGCGATAATACGAAACGCGTATATCACGGTTAGACGTAACGAGAACGACTTTAACGTACTTTATTATATAAGACAGAATTTGTAGACAAGTTTATATTAGGCCGATATCGACACGGCGATCCTTATCCTGTACAAAGGATAAGACACAATTGTCGCGTTCGAGTTTCAGCGCAATGCTCGCGTAACAACTTGGAATGAAGTCCCGTGCATATTTCTATCTTTTACAGAAAATATCGAGATCTTTTGTGTTAGCCGGAAGAAAACTATAGATGAAGCTAAATGTTTGCTTTCTGTTCGAAAGGCCAGCTGTACCTTTTCATTTCTCTTCCTAAATCTCTTCGCAACAATTTTTTTTCTTTCTCGAGATCAAGACATCGTACGATCTGAGAGACTGTCACGAGCGAAATCAAGGAGCAGTAGTTGTATGAAATCAAAATTTGTTCGTCGGCCAAACGTACCATTGAACGCGGAAGTAACGTGTAGAGATAAATTCATGGCGATCTCACGGCTCCTCGGTTGTTCGATTAACACTCGTTATATTCCAAGCGCGTCGAAATACGCGAATACTTGATATTAGTAACGGTATGTTTATATATCGTAGCGGATATAAGCGCCAACAGCTAGAGGACGAGTAGCGTTTTCGGTTCATCTATTGCGAGCTTCTTAGAAATTTTCAGAGGGCGACGTGTCCTCTTTCCTCTTCTCGAATGTATACAATATAATCTTCGACTGCATCTCGGATCTCATCGACTCGCGCTTGACAAATAAGACGAGAGATATTTAAAAGAAAAAAAGGCTTGAGCGGTTGATTTTATCGAGTCTATTTTTAGTAGTTTTGTTCAAAGACTAAACAGACAAAGGGAAAAGAAACGAAACTTATACGAGATTATATTACGCGATATGTTGCGATCTGTAAGAAGAAGATAATAGATATAAACAACAAATCAAATAAAACGTTACGATCAATGTTAGCTGAATTAGAATTATTTTTCTCATTTTTATCCTTTTGCCTCTTCCTAAGTGCAACGTAATTGATTCTGTAGTACACGTGCATTCGTTTCGTGAATGCTGAATTACCATACGTCAATCTAAATCGCATGAGATGACGTTCCTTCTCGATCTTGGCTTCTTCGTTGTTTCACATAATTGATCAATTTGTATATGAGAGATCTTTTGTTACCATTCGAGACGATTTTTGTCATTAGGATTCATATCATATCCCAGCAGAGGACGTATTCACATATCTCTTCATCTCAAAGTGTGTGCATTTTCTAAGTTTTACTACATTTCTCAGCAAGAGTGTAAAAGTCTATGAATAATAGAAAAGATGAAGTATTTTATCATCTATTTTGTCGTGTATATATACTTTGTGAAAATCCTGAATGTCGCTGCAATAGAAGGTACTCTAGTCATCATACATTATATGTAGAAACTTGTACATCAAGTGTTATCATAATCACAATCATCACGAGACTACATAGAGACTACAAGAGCCACATAGTTTATAAAACTTCATGATATGCAATCGCAATGCCTATTTTTAAGTTATATGATGAACCTTGCTTCCAAACCATGATATATAGAAAACTTTCAAAGCGATAAATCAATAATAAAAACGAATATTTCTCTTCCTGGTTGACGACAGAGGTTTTTAATAAACCAATCTTTTTTTTCTTCACATTTGTAAAAATACGAAATTTATTTTCGGTTAGATTAACGTTTATTTTTAATTGGTTATCGTATTTGCACGAACAATAACGATTTCGAATAAGAAAGACGACTGAATGCCCCGTTTCTGACGCAGACAGTCGACATTGGCGACGGTTGGCCAACAAAGAACTAGAAGAATCCCTTTCGTATCATTGGAACACGAAAAAAGCGAAAAATGTGATTCTCTTCGTTGGTGATGGGATGAGTCCGGACACCATAACAGCTAGCAGAATTTATCGTGGCGGCGAGACCAGTCGACTCGCATGGGAACATTTTCCCCATATCGGGATACTGAAGGTTGTCCCGATGAGGTTTTCATTAGACGTGATTCGTATCTAAATTAATCTCATGTTTTATACGAAAGGTTTCTTTCTCCTCGTGTTCGAATATATCTTTTGCTGGTAATGCAGACTTACAATGCGGACAGACAAGTCCCGGACTCGGCATCTACCGCCACCGCTCTCTTCGGAGGAGTCAAGACGAATTACGAGGTGGTTGGAGTGGACGCCAACGTGCAGTTGGGGGATTGCCGGGCGAGTTTGAATCCAAATTATCACGTGGATTCGTTTATAGCGTGGGCTCAGGCTGCCGGTAAAGCGACAGGTCGGATCCAATTGATTTCCTTCCTCCCCCCATTTCGTCAATACCATCTGCTCTTAAAGCCCTGAACCCTTTTTTTAATAAGCTGCCTATTAGGCAATTCTTTTTAAAAATTTTCAAGTGAAAGTAAAAGATAAAAAACCATCTCGTCTTCGTCAACTAAGAAAAATCGGATTTTTTCTTTGTATACGTATTTTAAGAATAATTAAACAATTTCGAAAAATAATATAATTGACTGCAGGCTTCGTGACGACCACCAGAGTGACTCACGCAACTCCGGCACCGCTTTATGCGCACTGCGCGAATCGCAGATGGGAATGCGAATCCAAAATGCCTGAAAGCGCTGCCAGTTGTAAAGACATCGCCAGACAATTAGTAGAAGATGAGCCCGGGAGAAGCATTCGAGTAAACAGAGAATTACTCATGTACTTTATTTCGGGCAATGATTATATGAGACGGATTTGATTATAACATTGAACTTCTCTCTCTCTTTCTCACACACACACAGGTGATTATGGGCGGTGGTAGACAGGTGATGAAGTCCAATGTAAGTGCGGGTGAATTCGATCCGATAGACTCCTGGGCTTGCTACAGGCAGGACGGCCGTGATCTCATCGCTGAATGGACGCGAGACAAGTCCAATAGAAACTTGGCTTACAGTGTCGTTCAAAACAATGAAGAATTGTCCCGGCTCGATATCGATAGCGTGGATTATTTGCTCGGTATCTTCGCCAACGGCCATATCGAGATGGACTGGAAACGTGAACAAAGTCCGAAAGGACAACCGAGCCTGGAGGAGATGACGGTGACGGCATTACGAATTTTGCAAAAATCCGGACGGGGATACTTCCTAATGGTATCGTATGCTAGTCACATGGTTCGGCGAAATTGTTACGATCAATGCGATTCTTCCAGGTCGAAGGAGGTATGATCGACTTCGCTCATCATCGCGGCCACGCCGCTCAAGCCCTGCTAGAAACCGTCCGGTTCTCGGATGCCGTTAACGCCACTCTTGGAATGATCGACACCGATGACACTCTCGTGATAGTCACCAGCGATCACACGCACTCGATGAACTTCAACGGATATAGCCCTCGCGGTTCATCCGTTCTGGGTAAGGTCGATTCCAGAGATTCTGGATTCTCACCAAGTTCGTTCTCACGCGGGAGACTGTTTCAGGAATCGCACAGAAATCAAGATACGACGGAATACCGTACACAAAGTTGTCCTACAGCACGGGCGGACCGAACAATGTTGCTTACACGGTGGATGATAACGGCCAACCCGTGAGGATCGATCCCTCTAAATTCAACACCAGCGACTTCACTTATAGCCAACAAGCCACGATCATATCGGACGAAGCTTATCACGGCGGTGGGGACGTGGCTGTGTACGCTATAGGTATATATCGTGTCTAATTAGATATTAGAAGTACAAGAGCGCAGATAAATGGCTTCGCTCTTGAAAAGTTCTCGATGCAAAACGAGAGCGAGACTCGGAATTTTAAAAATCTAATCCCTTTCTCTTACAGGCCCGCACGCACACCTCTTTCACAGCGTGCATGAACAGAATTATGTGGCGCACGTGATCGCATACGCCGCGAATGTCGGCGAGTATTTCAACGGCGCCGCGATATCGCAGATTCGCTGCTTAAATGTAGTCATTTTATGCGCTAGTTTAATCTCGTCGGTTTTAATCGCATACAAATAAATCTGTAAGTATTAATAAAAGCATATTATCAGTTTTATTTTTCGGTAGGGAACGATATATCCATATAGTATAATATATATATATACACACACACACACACATGCGCGCACATTGTGTGTATGTGGGTGTTCTTCGAAAAAATCGCATTTACATAATAATAATTCTTATCGCGCGTAATTAAGTGGTATTGCAAGTACCCGCGAGATATATCACTTGTATTCCACTCCATCACAGATTGGACCAACTTTCAATGGACGTACCGAGTTCCTATATAAACGTATTCCGTTATATACTCCTTGCTCGAACAATTTTACAAATCATTCACTCGCACGTTTTATTATTTACAATTACATACAAATATGTACGTTAAAAAACAATTCTCAGTCTTATGCTATAGAAGATATAAAAAGGTACTACTTGCAATGTTCATCTTATGAAAAATCTAAGAATGCAAGTGGTCCTCCGATATTACACTTGAGAACGAGATTAAAATTATGCTTCCACTTAAACGCGTTATTGCAATTAAGTAATGTACTTGTACTTAAGACTGTCGAGGGGATGCCTTCTTCGCGAATTCTACTTAACAGTGTTGATAATGTATAAAAAGAGAATACAATACAATTAATAATTTATAAGAAAAGGACAGAGTGTGCACATATAGATATTGATGACTGACATATAAAAAAGGAATCTTAAAGTATTACATCAAAAGAATAAATGGAAGACGTTGTCGGAAAGGGGTCTCATTACAAGATATGTAGCGATCTTAATATTATGCAAACGTTCATCGTGACGCAGACGAAGCTCGGAGTTTTTTCAGTTCTTTGACTGTCTTTAGATGGTGATGAGACGCGGGATCACTGCACTTTTTTCCTCTCACACTTATTGACGTTGTGTAACAACACCTTGAGCGCGATGCCGCCGAGGAAGAGGAGCGCGGTTATCAGGAAGATAAAGCCCGGCGTGTACTTGCCGAGAATCGTCAGGCCGCATAAGGTCACCATCTGGAAGCCCAGCAACAATGGTACGAGATACACGGCCGCGACCAGATACAGAGGATGCGGCTTGCGTTTCGGCTTCTCGAATCCGCTGAAGCTCGTGGCGAGTTTAGCGAGATCGTCGTCAGGTCCCTCGATGATCGTTTTAATCGGTTCGTCGACGCGGATCTCGCGCAGCGAGATCAGCTGACGCAAATTCTTGTATGCGACGAAAAGAGTGATGGTGATCTCTCGGAGGAAACGGCTGATGCTGACGTGCACCTTGAGCGCTATCGGATGCGACTTGGAGTTGTCGAAGGAGTAGAGGAGATATAGCAGCAGGTTGACATTCTGGCAGCAATGGCGGATTTTCTGCATCGATGCGTGTCGGAACAGCATCGGTGGACCGCTGTAGTTTCCATCTGGAGGAAAGAGAAACGCTTGTAACCAGTGCGGGCGATATTATGCGTTTACTATCATTCGTGTTGGCGATAGGCTCGCCAAGATATTAATTGGCTAGATATATCTCCAGTTTAGAAAACAACTGAATCTGCTACAATTGTTCAATAACAAGTATATTTCAACATGCAAATGTAGAAAGAGCCATGACTAAGGAAAAGAAACGAGAAACGTGAAGTCTTGTTTATTTACCCTTAAACATATCGGACACTCGTCTGGCCAGAGTGGGTTTCCTTTGCAGAACATTCTTTTTCTCCATGATCTCTGACATAATCTGCGACATTTTGATACAATTTTCGAAGAACGCGTTTGTTTTGCAATCACAGAACGATCCTCAAAATAATCTTCCTTCGATAATTAGATTATCTGAAAACAATTTATAAATGGTTAGTAATAATTAATTTAAGAGTACCAAAGGATTTTCATGAACGATTGCAAAAGACCAGGGATTAAATACACGAAACTAATATGATGGAACATACAGGTGATTACCGATCGTCTTTGATGACGAGAATATTCTCGAAGTCTCGACGATGACCAATGAGAGCTTCGGTTAGCACTGAAAGATCTTCGTCGTTTGTACATATCGAAGTTGCATGGTATAAAAAAAAGATATGATTCGATAGCCCTGTCGACCCGAGATTAATTCATCGGTCGCAAAAATTTTGCTTAGTTCAACATTATTCAAAGTATGGTTTACCCGGTTACAAATCTTTTTTCTGTTTCTTGAAATTAAATGTTTGACCTATAAACTGGTTTCGAACGATAAGTTCTAAATTACGTCTCGTAATTTATAATAATCTTTAATTTTTTAATTTTACACGACATACACACACTATACACACAACTAAGTATATTTTAAAATTAATTAATTAAAATGTTTTAAAAATTACAGATATTTTATTTGCTTTAAAGTATAAATTAATGAGATAAATTAGTACAATTGTTAAAAGTATTTTACCGCGAATTAAAAGTTTCTTTATATTTCCAATCATTGGCCAAGATTTAAAAAAAGAAACTTTTTTAGGAGAGAAATTTGTGTTGTTGAACGATGTGTCGTTGCAATTTCACGTATTTCTGTATTTATGTAAAACAAGTTAATACAAGTGCAGAAGTTATCTACTGTTCGTTGACAAAATGCGATTAGCAGTATCATAAACTAAAATGATTAAGCATTGTAACTTATGATGTCACAATTTTTTCTAGTAAGTGAATTATTTATCGAAAAATAAAAAAATTCAATTACAAGTAGTCCGCGTATTAATAGAAAAAGGAAACACTTTTTTTAAATGATAGATGAATAATTGTGTATAATTATTAAAACGCAAATAAATTATATATGAAATTGCGATATATGCAAAAATGTCACACAAAAGAAGAAAACAAAAAAAATTAATAAATAAAATCATAGAAGATAAAATTTAAACCTGATGCCAAGTAATTATGCAAATAATCTTTTTTTCCAGAAATTGTAATTTTTCGAATAATAATTATGACATGCTCTGGTATATGTATACGATGCTTACTATTGATTTTTATTCTAGTAAATAAATTATTCATCGGAAAAAAAAAATTAATTACCAGTAGTCCACGTATAAAAGAAAAAGGAAACGCTTTTTCCTTAAATGACAGATAAATAATTGCGTGTAATCGTTAAAGCGCAAATAAATTATATATGCTAAATAAATTGCGATATATGCAAAAATATCACGCGAATAAAAAGAATAAAAATTGAACCTGATGCTAAGTAATCGTGTAAATAATTTTTTTTCTAGAGCTTGTAATTTTTTGAATAATAATCATGGCATGCTCAGATATATGTATACTATGCTTACTATTGATTAAAGAATCCATGATATGTTGTAAACATTTATCCGTAATCTCTAACATAAAATTTCGATTGAGTCCGTTTCAATCGATTAATGTTAAATAAAATGATATTAATAATTGTCCTGATAAAATAATTGTCCTGATAGATCAATACAAAAACCAAGGTGTCTTTACATTTCGTTTCTGAAACGCATGCCACTCACGTATTAGGGCGCTCACCTCAGTGTTTACAGCTGTCAGTGATGGAAGGCGTCTAGCCGCAAGAAGGTTCACCCGTCTCGTATGAGCGATCAGCAACCGCGAACTAACTGTACTTTTTGTAGAGATTGAAGACTATAGGAAACTCGCGAAATATGCCCATTCTTCGCGTCGCCTCTTCAACGAACGTTTGCGATCGATAATGCAACAACACACCCGACTGGAGGAACTCAAGTGCTGATGCTGGGTAGGGTATGCTGGTGCGGTGCTCGCTCAACTACTAAGCCGGCTTCGGTCGTGTCGGCTAGCAACTACCAAGCCTCCACATCCACCTCCACTGACTCCGAACCCACGGCCACGATTAGCGACGTGAATCATCGCCGAGCCAATACAAACGGCGATTTCCGTCGGAGCTGACGCCGGATTGGCCCGGCATTACCACCGAGCTGCGATGGTCAAGATACAATTTTTCCGTAAATAAAAAATGGAGTAGGAGAAAAAAGGGTCGTCGACGCGAGGAAACGCGTGCACGGTCACGCATACGAATCTTCTGGCACGCACGCGGTCTCTCGCACGTACCCTCGCGGCCTGATTAATGTCCGCATGGAATTTTTGATGGAATTATAATATAACGGAAGTAGGGTTTGCGTCATTAAATGTTCTACTATGCAATGTGAAACAATTGATGAGACGGATAATTTTTGATTTTATAAATTTAGCGCTGTTTCCAACGTAATAGGTTGCTTTAATAGGTGCTTAAATAATTGTGTAAGATACCTTTATCTTTTAAATCTTGTGTTATATAAATCAACGTTTGTATATGATATAAGTCAAGATATACACATATATAGATTAACATTTGCATATGAAATGAGTCAAGATATATACATATATAGATGAACATTTGCATATGAATTAAATCAAGGCTTAAAAGATAAAGATATTATATGTATATATACATATACATGTATATATTGTTTTTCAAACATTATATATTTAACCACAGTAAAGTAAAATCTTTCTAGTCCTGAAAAGATTATATTTAAATAAAATATAGTAAAACAGAGATCAGCTTGTGTCAAATAGCTGAAATATTGCATCATGACAGCTAACAAATCAGTTAGAAATATTTTAAGTATTTAAACGCACAAATACATTGCCAAGCAACTTTATAAATGATAATAGCCTTTGCTTTTATCCATCGTTCTGCATTTCTGATGTAATACGAATATCTGTAAGTAGAGAGGCAGGAATCAGAAATTCTGCTGCGAAATGAAAATGAAAAGTGCATTCGTTGCAGCAATTTCGAAGACTTTGGAGATCTACAAGGATTCTTCCATATGATCGACGTATCGAATGTGCTTATTGATACACGCGGAGTATGCGTGACCGGGGGACAGACGGTGACGGTTCTATCCATTCGTAGATAACATACTGCGATAATAAAATATAATCGGTAACGAATGCAATTTTGTCAATAAATTGGCAGATGTACATACATTGATTTCGTAGAAAAAAAATGGGTATATATTGATTACGCGCGAAAAATGATGCGCAACATTTCATTGACCTCGCTTTTTTTTTTCAAGGCCTCACGACACGCATCGTTCGTGACGCATTGCGTGTTCTCCCATGACTGTTCGAGATTCAGGTCGTTCCACAGTAGACACAACAATATTGCTCGTTAACGATATCTTATTTAAATACGAATATATATTTTTTGTTGCAATCATTCAATTATCAAATCACTTGGTTGCAAAGTGCTAAGTACGAAAAGCAGCATCCGCGGAAAGTTACCGCTACATCTGATAAAAGTGGCTGTCCTCTCTCTCTCTCTCTCTCTAATTTCTAATTTATCCGATTCCGTTGGATTCTTAAAAATTCTGTAACGATTCTCCGAAAATAATCTTACTGTTGTGTCTACTTAAATAAAAAAAAAAAAAAAAAGAAGATAAGCGCATCTGGCTTTGTTTGTAAATTATGTCGAATTGTTGCCGTATACACCTTGTCGCCTTACGTGCGTCAAATACGTGCAAAACATTTTTCGATATCAGATGAGTACTATAATTATAAACAGGTAGCTTTTTTTACTCGTTGACGCACGCATCGAGTGCTTTGCCTTAATAGTGTACACACCTTGCCAACTCGTCAACAGACGCCGAGAACAAATGTACTTCGACTCGTTCCGAAAGCATTCGCTTGTTCAAAACACCGAAGAACCTTGAAGAGAATTGCAGAGATTCCTCTGATGTTTTTCTTATAAACTGATGGTATTATTAGTAACATTAATAAATGTATAAGTTGTATTGAAATATTTATTTTATTTACGATAGCAACAAAAAAGCATGATAGGCATTTTTTCTGTATTTCAATAACTAAACAAAACTGCACTAGTAGAAGATTGTCGATACATTAATAAAACAAATAAATAATAACATCTAAATTAGTATAAAATAACTTATCTCTTCAAATAACATTCGCAACAAAACATAAAAAAAACCGTATCTTGTGCTATAAGTGTGAGATAAGTTTTGTTTAAGTTTATTTTTTATTACCCGCACATTTTACAGTACTACTATCAATTTTATGTATGTTATGACTTATGTAGTCGTATACTATATGTGTAAAAATCTTTGTGATATACGAATGCGCTCTATGAAAAAGCTGCGAACGAATGCTAAAAAGATTTGATTTTTCGTGACTTTTGACGGTCAGATCTATGTTCAAGGGATATTTCTTAATAGATGGTATCAAAATAAAAAAAAAATATTTTTGTATTTTCTAAGACTTGATATCTTCTATATTTACTAACACAAGATCAAAATCGTGCAAATTAGAAACTTGCACATTGCTTTCTCATCATTTTATTTCACTCACAGAGCTTAAGCTCCTTAAAGCAAGCGGATTTTTCAATTTTAGCTTCCTCAGAGAGAAAGATATCTCAAAATTTACGAAAGTTACAGCTTGTACAGACATTTCTAAAAAAATTCAAAATTTTATAAAAAATGAACCCTTTCACCTGTCCTCACCAGATTCAATACTAACCATCTTTTAATGATACTCTATTCATGTAAAAAAATTCAACCCGATATCTCAAAATTTTCGAAAATTAGAATGTGTACAGACATTTTTCAAAAAATTCAAAATTTTGTAAAAAATGAACCCTTTCGCCGATCCTTACCAAATTCAATACCAACCATCCTTTAATGATATTCTATTCATTTTAAAACATTTAGCCCGATATCTCAAAAATTGCGGAAGTTAGAGGTTGTACAATATATATTCCGTACATACATACATATACATATACGGACATTTAAAAAAAATATGATTTTTCGACATTTTGGAACATTCTAAACACTGGCATAGAAAACTGGAAAAAAAATTTTGACACGAAAACAAAACTTCCTCTATGAGGAAGCAAAATAAAAGAAGATCGATTCCACATATTTAAGAAAAAGCGTTATTTTGAGGTCGATTTGTTTGAGGCCTTATCGTCACCCATCCATTTCAAAATTTATTTTCACAAAAAAAGATGGGCAGCAAAATAGCAAACTCTCTCTGTTATAAATTTCATACAATTATATAGAAATATTCCTTATGCTGGTGAACGAACATCGCTCTTCATCGACGCTCGGTTGTCTTTTACAATCACTTCCTCCCACTTCTCGCTGGTCTATTTCTGCATCCATAATTTTCCTCTTTTTCGTCGCTCCCCCCGCAGTCTGCGGTGCTGATCACGGCGCAGAAGCCAAACGACCAGCCGTTTTGCGCGTTGCGATTACATCCACTTGTGTCTGTGGAGTGTCATATTGTGACATGTTAGAATTTATGAGTATACAAAATGTCGTATTTTTATCGGGATTCTTTATCTACCCATCGTGCTCAGCACGTGAGAGGATGTACAACCGATAACTTTAGAGTAATAATCATGAAAGAATGATGTAATTCTAAACAAGTTCAATGCTGACCAAAGTTTTGGCGAGAAAAATAACTTGTCCAATAACATAGTCGTAATCTGCTTAACGACATTGAAAATCATTATCTGCTTGTATTTAGGCAACAAAGTGCGACTGAGAGTTTTTATCGAAGTAAAAATTATATAATTTGTCGACACTACATATACATAATTCTCGCACTCTACTTTGAAAAAATTATATTCATGATTTATCTTACATCTTCTACTCTAATGTTTGTAAATTTATTTGAAATTTTTCTGGCGTAAAAAGCTAGATTCATATTTATTATTATTCCATGATAGATGAGAGACGAATTTCTACAAAATAGCAAATAGCTTAGGATCGAAACGATCTGAAAGAATCTAGGCCGGTCTCTTCCTTGTCCCATAACAAGAGTCGTGAGAAGGGCGTACTATGGACTCACGTTCATGCCACGTGCATCCCCATTCCATGATAGATGAGAGACGAATTTCTACAAAATAGCGAATAGCTTAGGATCGAAACGAAAGATCTGAAAGAATCTAGGCCGGTCCCTTCCTTGTCCCATAACAAGAGTCGTGAGAAGGGCGTACTATGGACTCACGTTCATGCCACGTGCATCCCCATTGATCATCCGTCTTCAACACGAAACGATCACGTGTTCGAGAAATTTTTATCCATGACACATAGCAGGATATCTATGACAGGTTGTGTTTATTTAAATTTGTATTTCAATATATGTATTGCGTTATATATCTTCCCCGACAGGCGCAAGTTTACAAATTTTTTTCCATTTTGTGGCATTGCAAATCGAAGCATGCATTAGTTTACAAATCTTTTTTTCCATCTTGTGGCATTGCAAATCGATGCATGCATTAGTTTTGTTTATATTAATGTCAAAGAATTAAAGTTTACTTTATTTCGCTCAATATTGCGAAAAATATTATTAGAAAAACAAATTGATAACACATCGATGGACCATCGTTCAGTTTTTTTTAGCTTCTTCTTTCAATTCCTTCAATTTTTAGATTGTTATAAAAAATGGATAATGAAATTTCTATTATTATTTTTAATTTATAGTAATATTATATTTTGATGTAAAATTTATTAATTTTTGGCTTGTAACACGTAATATATCTGATTGCGATACACGCGAAAATTAAATAAATTAAATAAAATAAATAAATAAATAAAATTTTTTTCCATTTTGTGGCATTGCAAATCGAAGCATGCATTACTAGTTTTGTTTATATTAATGCCAAAAAATTAAACTTTACTTTATTTCGCTCAATATTGCGGAAAATATTATTAGAAAAACAAATTGATAACACATCAATGTTCAATCTTTTTTTAACTTCTTCTTTCAATTTTTAGACTATTATAAAAAATGGATAATGTAATTTCTATTATTATTTTCCATTCGTAGTAATATTATATTTCATAGTAGTAAAATTTATTAATTTTTGGCTCGTAACATAATATATCTAATTGCGATACACGTGAGCCACACATGTCCATATTCTCGTTGATCGCGAACTCTCTCGATTATTGCACTTGACGTTTCGCGAAACTAAATCCATCGCAATGCGAAGTGATATTTAATTCGAGGTCTTGCCACAATGTATTACCCACTCGTTGATATATAACGCACGTTTGTTTGACGTAAAAGTCTGACAATGAGTAAATTACAATCTATTATATCATGCGATGGGGCAAGAATATGAAGATCGTTATATTCATGAACCGAAAAATTAATCCTGAATTAATGGCGAGTGTCCGTCAGTAAATCCATCTGTTTTTATCTACTACATCTCTCTTCTTTTCATTATAATTATTTTATCGTTGGTCGTTTCTAGGGCTTTGTAGCATGTTTAATTTACTTCAATAGTCGGTATAAGAGCAGAATAGTTACCCATGAAAAGCGCATTGCAACGAGCATAATTGGAAAATTGAAAAACAAGTTTAGCTTACTTTGTTGCGCCAAGTGCGAAGTTACATTGATTATTTAGAATTTAACCCGGACTCCCGATTATCTAGAGTTTAATCTAGAAAATCACTCCATTTCTCATTCAAAATAATGACTAGGACTCTTATATATCTAGAAAATTAATTAGATAATTAAAAAAATTAAGTAAATAATACATTATCATAAGCTTGTTATTTAATTTTTTAAATTCTCTAAAAAAATTTAAAACTTCTCTTATTTAAATTGTAAAGCACAAGAAGTGAGAAACCTGTTTCACATAAATAAGTATAAATCTTGATGTTAGTGTTTGGTTTTACTTTCAGCCTTGATCTTTTAACTTTCTATTTTGCGAAACCGGTTATAATATCGACGCACACAATCATCAAAATTTATCTCAAATCTTTAAACATTGTGCATTTTATTTCGATCGTATTTTGATTAATTCAACAGTTGTCGAGAACGTCAACTATCATTTGAAATTCCATCGAGGCTGTCTGATGTTTACTTCTTCTGATCACTGTGTTCATACGATATTTTTATCGTGATATATAAATTTTCGGGAATACATGATTTTTATACAAAATACAGAGTGTCTCAAAATTAAATGTCAAAACTTGGAGCGTGTGGGGGATCGATGAACTAAGAAAAAAAGTCCTTGAGAGATTGTTAGTTTTTGCTTTGTTTTGAAGAAAATCACAAAATAAAAAATAAATAAATTTTTATCAAACAACACTAAAATTATTAAGTTTATCGAAAAGTACCATGAGATAGAAGTTGTAGAGCAATTAAGAAAAGAGAGTGAATTAAAATTCTCCTAAAGTAAAATTAGAGGATCGTAAATAAATACACAACAACGTGAAATTATTGTATCCTGTTTACTTTAGTTTATATTTACATCCATTAAGGAAGTGACAATATGTATAAATAAGTGTAAATAAATAAGTAAAGTAAAATTTAAAAGTTTTTATTTTTTCGTTTCAGTTTATTTATTTATTTACATTTATTTATTCATGTTGTCACTTCCTTCATGACAGTAGGAATATAAACAAACTAAAGTAAACAAGATACAATAATGTCGCGTTGTCTCATATTTATTTACGATCCTTATTTTTTACTTCGAGAGGATTTTAATTCATTCTCTTTTCTTAATACCATGTTCTACAATTTTTATCTCATGGTACTTTTCAATAAACTTAATAATTTTAATGTTGTTTTAAGTTGCTCGGTAAAAATGTTTGTGTCTTTTTCTTTTTGCGATTTTCTTCAAAACGAAGCAAAAATAATCAAATCTTTAAAGGACTTTTTTTCTTTGTTTATCGATGCCTACACGCTCTCAAAGTTTTGACATTTAATTTTGGGACAACCTGTATAATAAATCTTATCAGTATTTAATGCGATTAATATCTTTGCTCCATCGAGCGCTCTTTGTAAGAACAGGTGAATTTTCATGCATCCAAATATGCAACGTTCGTATCAATATGACAGTGAAATAAGATTCTTTTTACCTCACAAAAATACTGAATAAGAACCGTCGAATTGTTAGACGATCGATTTCTGATACAGATCTTTTTATCATATTAATTAATAGCTCTTTGTTTATCTCGCAGATAAAATAACACGATGTGATAGAAAAGCGCGAATTAAAAAGGAAGTGTCTGAGCGGAAACAAAGGTATATATCTCTCATTTCCGTTGCTATAAATATTTTTACTTCTTGAAAGCAAAATCACAGCTACATAAAATGTGGTTCCATAATCATTAATATAATAATAATAATAATAATAACGCCCACACGTTCGTCTTGTAGATTCATAAGCTACAAGGCGGACCTGATGGGCAAACCTTCAAATAATAATAAAAATAATAATAATAATAATAATAATAATAATAAAATAGAGAATAATACAAGGGGGAGGGTAAGGAGGCTCTCGCGAGATATATTTATAAGGCAGCCACCGTACAAATCTCGTTGTTAATAACTCTCTCTCTCTCTTTCTCTCTCTGTCATTCGATCAAAATTCGATTTCTCGCAGTTACACTTCAAAAGTAGATGAACTTTTCATTCTCGTCCGATCATGCTCTTCGCTTTTTTCCTGTTCGCTTCCCTTTTCCTCACGCACATTCGTCGATTCTAAACGCTAAATAAATATTATACAGATTTATCTATCGACCACATATATGCCCACTCTTCCATATAGTCCCGCGCAAGTGTCTCTCTCGACTTAACATAGTAAAACTGTAGTTCGACTTCTTTTCTTTTAGCACTCGACTTTTATAGTTTTATGGCACTCTTTTAATGGCTGGACTCTATAGCCTCTCCACGTTCCCGATGCGAACGATACCTTCGTCTTTCCACGTTTTCTTCTTTTCTTTCGTCGGGGTTGATATTTGCCTCGATATCGCGTTACATCGTCGATACGATACGCGATACCGCGAGAGAGCGATGAACTCTCTTCTTCGCGATTTTTCATTAAAATGCACCGTAAGTGAATGACGCACCGTCGACGTGGACAGGATCGATGACTATCGACTCTCGCTATAGAATGCTACTATTGTAATATTTAAAGAAAACTATTGTAATATTTAAGGAAAACTATTAGGAGCGTGATTTACATTACAAACATAACGTCATCGTTAACGTCAAATATTCTTATATGGATTTTAAATGTCGACGGCGATCCGTAACGATTAGTTTATATTATTCCATTTAAAATGCATATAAGAATATAGATTTGACATTATGTCTACGTGACGTCACGTATAATGTGCAACACGCTTTAGGATATTGAGTCCATCCTCAGTTCGCTTCCAAAGGATCTGCCAGGCCGATCGAATTAAATTATAAACATAATCATCGGTCCTCTTAAAACCATCGCGCGATCGATCCCTCTTGCTTACTGTAAAATGAAAAATTGTAACGATCAAGTATATATGATTCGCTTTCACAAAACTAAAATTTAAAAAAAATTTTTATTAAATTTTTGTCGCTCGTATTATTGTTTAAAAAAAATTTCGCCGAAGTTTTTTTTTCATGACAATGGGTCATATGGATGAGATGTGTCCAATTAAAATAAACAATTTTCTCATTATTATATACTCATCATAATATTCATTTTTATACATAGCGTCTTATATAATTGTTTACTTCACAGTTATTGCCGCTACACAATTGATACTTTTCTGCTGAGGCAGGACACATTTTCGACGACAAAGCACGATTTTTCATTATGATACTTTCGATATGTGATATCTTCTGTAAGACATATTTTTTTCTCTGTTTAAGAAATTATTCACATCTTTGTCGGGATGGGAGGAGGAGGGGTTGGGGAGGGGGATATGAACTTTACACAGTAAAAACGCATATGTTTGTGGAAACGATATCTTTTTGTGATTTTGAATTCATGGTCGACCAATGTCTACGGCATAAATTAGAGCATGTACCGACAATTATTATCATCCAATACGACGAAAAAGAGACAAAAAATTATGGCGAATATCTCTTAATTGGAAGCAGACATATTCGCGTTACGATGACATTATAAATTGCCAGAAGTTTCTTCGCGATAGGATAAATATTTTCGCTACTTGATACAACAATGCGAGATGTTTCCGCGAAACTTTTTACTAAAAAATGTTAATTACAGTGCTCACAAATAAAAACTGGCTCGACATCAACAGCTTTTCTCATTGATCACAATTCTAAAAAAAAAATTTTCGAACTATTGTGTATATCCTCCAAAATTTATTTTTATATATGAAGAATCAGGAAAGTTTTCGCGACAACGATAAATTGTACAAGTTAAATAATTCCTTCTAAAAAACAAGTCGTGTAGATGTTTCGTAAAAAAAAAAAAAAATCTTAAAAAGATTAAAATAATCATCTCTAAATATCGGCGACTATATTTTGCGGTGCTTTATCTAGTTGACGCATTTTTAAGGCACTAACGTCTTCCAGTTGCTAAATCTACGATCGTTTTCCGGTCAGTTGGTTAAAAGTAAGTCCATAAAAGTTTTTCATCCAAGAACCATGTTATCACCGGATTCGAGATGATCGGGCAGAAAATTGTTACCTTTAATGTTATCTTTACTTTTTTTAAATTAGGAGATTCAGTCTTTGATCAATCCATCTTTCTAAACACGATCAATGCAACTGCGATAAAATTCGACGTACTGCTCGGAAATTCGATCATAGCTACAAGTATAAGATATAGATCTAACGGGATGAGTCGGTTCGGTTCGTCTTTTTTTTCCATATTGGACAAATAACTTTTTGCGTCTATTGTATGTTAAATCGCTAAGGCACGGTCCTACAAGAGTTCGGAAAAAATCCTAAAGGCACCCTAGCGTCTCTCGCCGAGCAGTTGTACTACGTTTAATTATTTGCCGAAAAAATATATGTATATGTGTGTGTGTGTGTGTGTGTGTGTGTGTGTGGGGCTCTACTCGTCTCTATAACATACGTACGTTTAGAACATACGTGTTAAACTCTCCGGATACTCCTTATCGCGTTCATCCGGCATTATTATCTCCCCCCGACGTTACATGTGAAAATAGACCAAACACATCTCGTTTTGAAAATGGAAGATAAATTCAGTTAATATCTCATTACACTTTCATCTTTTTCTTCTCTATTGCATTTAAAAATGGGAGAAAGCCAAAACGCGACAGAGAGTACACGCGGCGAGATTAAAACATGCAAGAATAAATTTCATGTCAAATGAAAATGGACAGAATTGTACCATCGTTGAGCGTGCTTTAGAAATAGAAGCGCGAGAAGAATCTGTTCCTCCCTCCAACGAGTCGTACCAATCTCGCAAATATATACATATACACTATACACACATAAATTAAACAGCTTTGCATTACACATGTCATTAGCGACCCTTTTTTTTAGAATATATTTTAAATATACTTTTTTCTCTCTCGCGTACATACATAACTTTTGTCTTCAATCTTTTGACTCTCGGTTTTTTTTTGTTTTTTTGTTTTAATTTGATCGTTCAACGACCGTCGCTCTGTCTCATTCTATTTTCCACTCTTGTGTCTCGACTCACAGTCTTTTTAATTAAACTCTCAATTTATCAATACTGCTCGTAAATATTCATCGCGTACCCTCTTGAACGTAAGCCAGCCCGAAAATATGCGCGTTATTTTGTTTTTTATTCCATCACGTTTTGAATATTGAACGTTAAAACGTTGGAAATTATCGTCAACTGCACAGTCAACACACACTTTCAATTATAGCGATTAAAATTAAATAAATAATTGACAACCGTGGCAGAAAAACTCATACAAGACTGATAGATGACTGTTCCAGAAATTTTCTGTCTCTCTCTCCCTCTCTCTCTTTCATCGTGAATATAAAAAGATTAGAAAAAGTATTCGACATCACAGAAATATTTATAGCTATTATTGAATTTTGTCATGTATCAATTGTGCAATAGAGACGCTAATAGCGCCGACAAAACGCTACAAAGGCGTTTTTTAACTCTGCAGTCTAGACGATAAGAAAGTGTTATCTTTCCCTCAGCTTCTTCATTCTCAGTGCCAAAGTGATGCACTTGATCTCCACTGTTCTCGCAACACATCTCAATCGGATTATCGCGTTGCTATTATTATCGCGTTTTCTATTGTTATTTCATTTCCCGCCTGCTTTATGGATGCAATGTGTCAAGCTATTCTACGATCTAGATCGTCATAAGGACTATTCACATGGAGGGTACACAAGATGATACTAACGAAGGGAAAAATGTACAAGGTTTCTTGTGTGTGTGTTTTTTTTTCTATTAAATATTATAGTTTGTCTTTTTCATGCTAAAGCTACGTTATAGGCTTGTCTTCGTATTATTGTCTTAGGTGCTACGCCACTTTCTCACGTCCTTCGCTTTCGTTTCCACAAAAAAGTCATGGACCCGAAATAATTCTATATTCTGTGAGATTCGACTATATAAACCTTGCAACTCTCTCGGTTATAAATTTTCCGCGTATCAATATTCCGTCTTGTTCATATTCATGGAAGCGTTCCTAGAGGCTGAGAAGACTGTTCGATGATCGTTTCCCGATTTTTCATCGTCGGTCCACGTCATTGCTCAGGCTCAAAGTAAGACCAAATCGCCCCAACGTTTACTCGACATACTATCGCAGATATCGGACGTTGTGTGATTCGAAGGTTTTGAACGTATCAGTATGCATTCTGAAAATAAACGTTATTGACTAGCCCCCTACCGGTTACCACTGACCATTCGTATTACCAGGAACATTGCCCGATCGTAAAGAACCGAGGCGCTCGAGTGATCGTTCGGGGAATGTCTATAGGGACTAGGAATTTGTCTTTTTAACGGATCTTGTCCGGAATTCCGCGGACTCTCCGCGACTTTCTCTCTCTCTCTCTTTCGCGAAACAATTATCGACGGTGGGCATCGAGTTGAAACGAAGTCGTTGACTAGCCCCCTATCTAGTTCCGCTTAATTTTTTTCCACCTAGTCGGGGGAAGATGGCCGCGCCATTCTCTAAGGAATGTCTACTGGGACCAAGGTAATGCTTTATTCGAGCATCCTGCCGCGCGCAGGATTTTGACGGGAGAGATCGTTAAGTGTCCATGTGTCGGTACTTGTGCGCCGACATCTGCGCCAAACCTAACACCGCGTATTGGCACTGCAAGCAATGATAATGGGTCTGCTTGCCGGAGTGCTGACACTGCACGGCCCCGCAGGGCTGACTGGGTGTGAACTTTTGGAAACCCGCTGCCGCGATGCTGTCCAGCTTGGCATGCTGCCGTCGATGGGCGACCACCTTGTTCGTGTCCGTGCAAACAAAGTCGCACTTAAGACAGTGAAAATGCGACGCCTTGTTTTGCATCGAACCAAGGGACGACGTGTACGCGCACTGAGCTCTGCCGCAGGGCACGTTGGCCCGGTACTGCTGGAAATCACCGCCCATCAAGGTATCCAGTCGCTCGTGCCTCGCGGTATGCTGCACGAAGCGAGTTTTGTCGCAGAACGAGTAGCCGCAGTCTTGACGCATGCAGTGAAAATGTGTCTGATGCTCTCTGTAACCGCAATGAGGATACCTGCAGTCTTCGTTGAATCTAAATCTGTAACAACAAAGAAAATTCAATTAAATCTCAGGCTATTCATTGAGGAAAGCATTGTAATACCAACCTGACGTATCCTTCCGGCACAGGCTCGTCCTTCAGCATACGCATCGAATGATGGAGTCTTTGCTTCTTGGCTTCCGGCGAATTGGCGTCCGGCGGTGAGAGAGATCTCTTATTCAGATTAAGATTGGCCGCCAGCGAAGCCAGCGGATTCTCGTCTCTCGTGGGTGGAAGAAAGTTTGCCGGCGGTAAGCCGGGCGCGAACATCAGTCCGGGTCCGCCCGCGTACATTCCACCGTGCTGCAAAAACGGCGGTAGAGCCTGATTCATCAGGGCGATCTGTTGGTTCATAGCGGCCATCACGGCTGAACTAGAGAAGTGAAAACCGTGGCTGAGATCGAGCTCGAAACTCGTCGGCACCGAGGGCTGTTGCATGTTGGTAGGTGGAATCGGCGGTTGCGGATGCAATTGACCGTTCTCGTGGCTATCCACTGCGGAATTGTTGCCCTCGTCTCTGCAGGCGATCTCGGGTGGTTCCCGCTTAACGCTCGGGACATTTTGCACACCGATATCGGTGCTGCATCTTGGTTTCTCCAGCTTGATGTCCTTCGGTTGAGACTGTTGATTAAGAGTTTGCTGCATCTGCCGTTGCATCTGACTTTGAAAGTTCTGAATGTTTTGAGCCATTTGAGCGTTCGACGACATGAAGTCATGCTTTTGCGACAGCTGCGCCATGTAATCGTGTTGCAGCTGATTAGGCGACGGGCTAACCATATCATGTTGCTGCTGGCTGAGAATCGCGCCGGTCGAGTGCTTCGCTATATGCGCGACCAAGCGATCCAGCTCGGAGAAGGCCTGATTGCACGCGTTGCAGTGATAATGATTCTTGCGTTTCAGCTTGCAGAACGGTCTGCTGCAGCTCTGCTCTGGCCCATAGAGAGTGTGCGGCGAGGTGGAGCTCATAGACGGCATGACTGGCGGTTCTACAACGTTCAAGATTTATCCGTGAGATCGAATCGGATCCTTGAGAGCGCAAGAAATAGCGATGAGGAAAAAAACTAATTTACCGATACGAGAACACTCTCACAAAAGCGCAAAAACATGATACAAAAGAGGGACGAACCTTGGTGCACGGAAGGTCGCATGGATAGCACGACGCCCGGAAGTGCGGGTTCGCTCGGCGGTCCGCTGACCGGATAATAGGTGCCAGCCGCCCTCACCACTAGCAACAATCAACCAAACAACCAACACTTCAAATATTACCGCCCGCTATACAACCACCGTGTATGTACAAGTATATATACATCGAGAGAGAATGAAACGATAAAACAAACAGTCTCGTGAGACAAAACAAACAATGAAGGAGTAGGCAAGAGTGTTCTACTTCAACAACAAATGCAAGATGTGACAACGTATAAATTTTTGTGTGCGCGATTACGTGCAGAAGAGCATGCATATGTACTCAAATAGCAGAAAAGTCTCTGTCGTGTTCTTTCCTCGAAAAAAATCACTACCAAACGAAACTTGTTTATAGATCAATATCGGAATTGGTACCGTTTCATGGCCCTTCTTTTTATACTTACCGGTAGTTTTGCCGCTGTCGGGACTCGCAAGCTCGGATTCTTTATCCTCGATCATCGATCTGCTCTCCGGATCACCCGTCATCAAGCTCTCATCGGGTTTTTCGATCAGCTCGGCAGGATTCTTCACCTGGATCCTAGGTTTCGTTTCCTGGACCAACGACTGAGATTGTGTTTGACATTCCTGATTGCTCAATTCCTGGCCGCACAATTCGGCGTGATTGGAGTGTTGCTTCTCGTGTAACGCCATCGTCGAGTACCTGACGAACGAATATCCGCAATTCGGTCTGGTACAATGAAAGTGCCGATTAACGCGATTGCTATGGCAGCCAACGAGTCGACAATCGACCATCTTGTCGTAGAAAGCGAAGCCCGGCGGTATGTCGACGTTGTCGTGAAAGTCCTTGCTGTGCATGAGCAATTGATCCGGTCGATCGGTAAAGAAATGGCATCGTGGTTGCGAGCAATGATGATGCCTGATCGATCTAAGGATGCAGGATATGTCTGGGCATCCCTCCGGATTGTAGGTGGCGAATCCTTCGGGCTCGCCCAAACTATTCGAAGGCGATACGCTACCCTCTCGATCCTCCAGCAACGTATTCGATGTTAAATTAGAAGTTTGCGGTTTAGGCAGCTTGAAACTCGTAAAGATCGCCTGCGGCGAGTCGTGTGTATGGGTCGCGGGATCGCCGCCCGACCAGATTTCGATCACTCGATTCTTAGGCGGTCTACCCCGTTTCCGCCTAAACATCGCATCGATGTTCGTCAGATGAGTCAACGTGACGTCGGAGGAGAGGGCGTGCGAGGAACAGGAGAGGTTTAATTGCCGGCTGTACTCATGAATTTTATAATGTTGCAATCTGCGGAACGGTTTGTCAGTGGAGAGTATTACCTCCCGGCAATTTTCCCAATTGCAATGATAATGCTTCTCCTTGTCCGCGTACGGACAATTGTCATCGCAGCCGCCTTCCTCGAAGAAAGCATCCGTTATACGTTCCTGGGTCTCGTGTTCCTTCAGATGCTCCCTGACCTCGCGAGGATCCTTTAAGGCCGCCCCGCAGCGGTCTAATCCGCAATGATGATGCTCCCTGGCGGCGTTACAGGCGCATTCCGCAGTGGCCGGTATCAGGTAAGCCAATTCGGTAGCGGTGAGTTGGTGAGATTGTTGATGTTGTTGCTGCTGCTGCTCGAGATTGACGGAACTTCCGCTGCTCGTAATGATAGTCGTAGGAGCGGTGAGATCTATAGCAAGGTCACTCCCGCTTTGAAAGGAATCGTCCAAGGAATAGTACGACGGTGAGCCCCTGCCCTCGTTAGAGCTCTCGCCGTTCAGACTTAACGACAAGCTTTGAGTACTCAGTTCGTCCGGCGCCCATGATCCCGGTGGACGAACACCACCCACCGCGCTGACTTGCTTGTACTTCCGATAAGCCAGTTCCGACTCGTGACGCTCGTGTTTCCGCTTGTGCGAGAACAGCTGACCGGAAGAGTGCAGGACGTAGCTGCAGTGCGGCCGTATGCAATGAATGTGATTGCAAACCCGTGAGAATCGGCACTGTTCGAAGGGACAGGCCTCCGATTTCATGAACTTCTTGAAACCGTCGCGTGATAACTGTTCGTCTTTGATGTGGTAAGACTTGTGCTTATCTAAAAAAAAAAAAAATAAATGATGGAAACTTGTCGATCAAATCGTGCGGACCTGAAAGGAGGATAATGTAACGAGATATGTTGGATAAAAATTTATTGTAATGTAAATCGTTTTAAAATCGAATAAAAATGTCGATTTTGAAACGTTCCATTGTGTTACGTGAAACTTTTTGATGGATGACAGTTTCGACCTAGAATGCAAAGTCTGCATTAATCATGCGAACAATCGTCGTCTTTCTTACCTATATCGGCCTTATTTTTGAATGTGTACCGACATCCCGACCGCCGACAGTGAAAGTGCGTGGTCCGTTGACCGGCGAACTGACAATACTCGGTCGCGCAATTCTCGGTGGCCCGAAATCGCTGAAAGCCCTCTTGTATGATGGCCGAGTCTTTGCGATGATAATTTGCGTGCATCTGCACGTCCGATGTCGATATGTATACCTTGTCGCAATTCTCGTGAATGCAGTGATAATGGGTTTGCTTTCTGTTGTGCGGGCAGGCTCGGCCGGGATGCTTCTCCGAGCAATCGTCGGTCGGCGAGTATCTCATGAAGCCATGCTGCAGGGATTCGTCCCTCTTCTTGTGCCACTTGAAGTGCCTAATCATTTCCTCCTTTTTCACGAATACTCGACCGCTGCAGTCTAGACAATGAAAGTGCTCCCTACAACCCAATTCCTTGCAATATGTACTGCCGCATTCTTGACCGGATATGTATCTCTTCACATATCGAGAGTAATCGATGATCGGTTGGGAGACCGATGTCTTGGAACCGCTCATCAGAGAATCCGCTACCGGTGACATACTCTGCCTGAGCAAAGCTGTAACAAAGCGAAAAGAAAATTTTATTTATCAAACTAAATCAATTTTTAATGTCAATGTACGTACAAAATAATATATTTTGTTATAGAGTTGTTTTGTGTATTAAAAAGAAAATAAGATAATTGAATATAATACATGACAAAATTTTTTATTTTTTTCGAAATTATAATAAATAAATATATCTATAAATATGTGTTTTGACATAATTTTAATTTGATACACTGCTATTAACATATTCGTGAAATGTTAAGAAAATTTAAATGTTGCGTCTTGCATTTCAAATTCAAAGCTCGATCTCAATGAATTACAGCTGTAACAAAATAAAAAGAAAATTTTATCTGTCAAATTAAATCAACTTTTAATGTCAATGTATGTACGAAATAATATATTTTGTTATAGAGTTATTTTGTATTTAAAAAATAAGATAAATAAAAATAACTGCAACATTTTCCATTTTATTTAATTTATAATAAATAAATATATACGTGTTGATATAATTTTAATTCGACACACAGTTATTAAGATATTCGCGTGAGATGTTAAGAAAGTCTAAATGTTTCTTGCATTTCAAATTCAAAGCTCGATAAATCTCGATGGATTACAGTAGGCTGCGATAGAGGATACAGCAAACTGGACAGTCAGTCGATCGCTGGTACGTTATTCTTCGCTGGTACATGTCTCTTCACGGGCATTCCACCGTTTCACTTTACCGACCGCGTGTTCCGAATCGCTCTGTTCCGGACAATACTCCGGGTTCGCATTCACATCCACCAGAGGAGAGACACGCATACATCAGAATGACTTCTGATACATATACCGAGAATTATGAACGCACCGTCGTTCGTCGACCTACGGCACTCTCCCGCGCGCGCGACCGAAAACTGGTTGTCCAAGTTGCCGTGCCGCGAGATAAAAGAGAGGGCGAATAAAAAAGAAGAAGAAGAAGAAGAAGAAGAGAGGGTGCGGGAGAGGAAAGAATGGTCGGCGTAAAAAACTATCGGGCCGATCGCAATACGCGTATGCAAAAAAGCGCGGCGTGGCCGCGGGCGAGGAGGCGTAAGCATTTACCTCGACTCGTGGCTCGTTCGTTCATAGCGCTCCTAAAAGGCTTGAAACGGCCGCGGCACGCAAGAAAATATTGAGCGCGAGACGCAATTCGGTTGACCAATCCTCGCTCGCGATAATTATCTCCCGAGGAGATGTAATGCGGGCACGAGAAAAAAAGAGAGATGAAAATAAATTGTACCGTTCTCCTTTTTTTTCTGCCTAAACGAATAATTTTACAATTAAAGCTATCTCTTAAACCGATGAATTTGCATTTCTCTCTTTTGTCGGGGGGGGGGGGGGGGGGCGGGATTA